TGCAGGTCCCTGGGTGAGATGTCATTTGTAAAGCAACTCTTTTGACTATCATCTTACGACTGGCCTTGGTAGAATAAAAAACAGTAGGGTCCACCCAGGCTCGGTTATTTCTTTTTCAAACAATTCCTGCATTTTTTTTTTTTTTACTGAAACTTTAGATTAATAAATTGATAACAAAGAATTGCACTAGAGTAAATTATATAGGGACTTGGTAAAACTATCAATGCAAACATTTCCACTATATGTATTAATGTCACCCTCATTCTGACCATCGAGCCTCCTTCACCAGGGAGATGGTCATATCCTGTGCGGCTGGTGTCCCAGCCACCACCACGGTCTGAGTGTTTTTGCTCTGCTCCTCTTCATGTGTGCTTCGTATGGGCTTTTAGTCCTTCTTTGCAATTACTCAGTTATAAGAGTTTTACTGACCAAGCAACAAACAGGTGAGTAAAGCTTTTCGGATGTTTCTGCCATTGTCCTCTGCATTCACTGCCACTTCCCCCCGCCCTACTTTTCTTTCTTTTTTTTTTTTCTTGCACTTGGCATAATCCTGGGCTAGATAAGGTCACTTTGCTCTGGGCTTGGAGACTGTGCTGCACCTTGAACCCTCCTTTCCCTTTATATGTTATTCTGCATCGTTGTCAGTGACCACCAGGTCACTATGACCACATTATTCACAGGCCATGTTGTTCACAACAAGCCTTACAATTCACTGGCCAGACTGGTCCAACATGTTTGCTTCTTTTTATGATGGACAAAGACTATCAATACATCCCTTGGTCACTAAATGGAGAAACACCCACCTTCTGGCTCAATGCATTGGGGAAAGCAGTCCCCCAGGAAACAGAGCAACCCTGTCTCTATGCTGGCTCCTTTTCCCCCACTTACTACATACCCCATATCCCTTCAAGGTCTGAGGATTAAAGGAGCAGCTGGCTGCTGAGGCACTGGGAATGCTGCCTTCCAGCTGCAGCTTTTCAGCACTTCACCCTTGAACCCTCGCCTCCCACCATGTCAAATATATAACCAAGGCTCTATCATAATAAAAGTTGGTGATTCTTATCAATCCCTCCATCTAGTCCCAAAGAGAGAGACTGTCCCATATCAAGTAAAAGGAGAGGTACTACAATAGTTATTAATCATGAATATTTATTGAGTAGTATTTTAGGTCATTCTGTAAGGTACTGGGGACACAGAGATGGCACAGACACTGTGCTCACAGGGCTCCCAGTCTAGTGGAGAGTCACACATGTACATCCTCTGTGTGTGTGTATGTGTGTATGTGTGTACAATACTTGATTTCTTCCTGTATCATAAGTTAATTCATTCACATATAGTTACTGTGTGTCTCCATGTCAGACATTGTGCCTTGATTTGGGGAAGGAGTATAATGCACATATCCCATTCTGCAGATTACAAAGCACTTCCACATACATAGTCTTATTTGATTTATTTCAGGCCCCTAAAAGGTGAGGAATATCTAACTACAGTCATGCATTGCTTAACAATGGAG